GCCGCTGGAAGCTTGACGGAAGAGATGCTGGACGAGTGCTTTTTCCGTGTTCCAACGACTTTCCTGCATCTTGCCATCGAGTTTACAAACCTTCGCCTTGGTAGTTTCGACATTCATGGCTGGAAGGCTGCGAAATCGTCGGCGTTTGCCTCTCGCAATGCAATGCATTCAACGATGCGATATACAGCCGCGTTTGGACAGCCGCGAGCAGCTGCCTGAACCCAACGATCTCGAAGCCGTGCAGGCCTGCGATTGGTCGCAGCTTGGCTGTGAATAAAAGATGCCACACAAGAGTTCGCATCTTATCTGCATTGTTCCGCCGCGTTATCGGACCATACCGGGGTTGGAAGATCGTTTCCGCACATGGTGTGCATCCTCCTGTTGCCCAACACCACGAAAGCCTGCAGAACCATGCATATGTCGAGCTGTGATCGTTGTCACCTTTAATAATTATCCGCGAATATGCACGCTAGCCCTACGGTTGGCTATACCTGCCCTATGCGTCCGGCCGATGAACGGTAATGCTCTTGCTTTATCATGGTTAAAGCCCTCTCCTAGAGGTCGTATGCCGGCAGATCATGACCGAAGCTTTCTGCAAAATCTCCCAAGCGAAGCTAAGCAGTAAGGTTAATCATATATCAACTTCCGGCATCCCTCTGGCATCGCACTTTCCACTTGCCAACTGCTCGTCACCTGAGGTGTCTTTAACTCACCCAGCATGAGTACACCTCCGCCGCTAAGCCAAGGCTTTGGCTATGGCATTGTGATCGGTCTAGGCTTTGCCTTCTCGTAGGTCTTACATTCCTCATACATGGGCATTACTAACTCGGCAAAGCTTCGGTATGATCTTGACGACATTCGTACTGAAGAGATACAACTATGAACTCCAAACCTCTGAGATGTTCTCGACAGCTGGTCGTACAGTAAAATCAGGACTTGTCGCGTCAGCCGTAGTATCATCTTGGACATGGGCGGCAACACTTCTCCAATCGAGCGCAGTCGCCTACCGGTATGGAGTATCTGGCCCCTTCTGGTACGCCTCGGGAGCGACTGTGCAGATCATCTTATTTGCTACGATTGCTATCGAGCTGAAACGAAGAGCACCTAATGCACATACCTTCCTTGAGGTTATTCGAGCCAGATACGGTCCAGTCACGCACGTCGTTTTCATGGTCTTTGGTCTCTTTACCAACATCCTTGTCACTTCGATGTTGTTGACTGGAGGCTCCGCTGTTGTGACTTCGGTACGTCAAACGCGGCGAATGATATATCTGTACTAACCTACTCAAGCTCACCGGCATGCCAACTGCTGCTGCTTGCTTCCTGTTACCTGTTGGTGTAGTTCTTTACACCATGTTTGGAGGCATCAAGGCCACTTTCTTGACTGACTATGGTAAGTTACTCTCTTCTACATTTGCAGCAAAAAGTCGCTAAGATTAACTCTAGCACACACTGTTGTCATTCTGATCATCCTCTTGATGTTTGCCTTCACCGCATATGCGACCAACGAGAATCTCGGAAGCCCTGGGAAAGTCTTCGATCTACTGGTACAAGCCGCATCGGATCACCCAGTCGAAGGGAACGCCGGAGGCTCTTACCTAACCATGCGATCGAAAGAAGGTGCAATCTTCTTCGTGATCAACATCGTGGGCAACTTCGGTACTGTGTTCTGCGACAACGGATATTATAACAAAGCCATCGCTGCCAGCCCCGTCGATGCTCTTCCCGGATATATCATTGGTGGTCTGTCCTGGTTCGCGATTCCATGGCTAGCCGCTACCACGATGGGTCTCAGCGCGATCGCCCTGGAGAACAACCCTGTTTTCCCCGGCTATCCTAACCGCATGGCTGATGCTGATGTGACGGCTGGGCTTGTGTTGCCCACGGCCGCTGTTGCCCTGATGGGTTCGGGAGGAGCGGCTGCAGTTCTGCTTCTCGTCTTCATGGCTGTGACCAGCGCCATGTCTGCTGAGCTGATTGCCGTTTCTTCCATTTTCACCTATGACTTCTACCAGGTAAGCTTGACTTTACTGGTCATGAAAGCGGATTATTGAGCTGACGAAACATAGACTTATGTCAACCCTAAAGCTACAGGGAAACAACTCATCTACATGTCTCACACCATGGTTGTCGGCTTCGCTGTCGCAATGGCAGCCTGGAGTACAGGGCTTTACTACATCGGCATCAGCATGGGCTACCTATATCTCCTCATGGGCGTCATAATCTCGTCCGCTGTCCTGCCCGCCACTCTAACGCTGATGTGGTCGAAGATGAACTGGGTCGCAGCAACCTTCACACCACCTCTCGGCTTCGCCTGCTCCCTTATTGCTTGGCTCGTCACCGCACAGAAAGAGAGTGGAGAACTCACTGTGCTCACTACCGGCGCCAACAACCCTATGCTAGCAGGAAACGTTGTCGCCCTCCTCTCTCCCATTGTTTTCATCCCCGTCTTCACGTACGCTTTCGGACCCCAGAACTACGATTGGCAGAGCATGAAGGCTATCCGCAGGGGTGACGACCACGATCTTGCTCTTGCCGCGAACGTCGATCTAGAACGGATCCCCGGTGAACAACGACGAGCTATCGAAGCTGACGAAGAGGAACAAGCCAAATTACTCAAAGCATCGCGTATTGCGCGCTGGCTCACGCTCTTCATGGCGATATCTTTCCTTGTGCTGTGGCCCATGCCCATGTACGGTTCTTCGTATATTTTCAGCAAGGAGTTCTTCACTGGATGGGTTGTTGTGGGTATTTTGTGGATGTTCTGCTCGTGCTTCGCAGTAGGGTTATATCCGCTTTGGGAGGGGAGAAAAACAAGTGTCAGGACATTCAAGTCGATATACATGGACATCACGGGGAGGAAGAAGCCGGGTAAGGGGCCGATGGTTGTGGAGGGTGAAGGCACGGATACACCTCCGGAGGCTATGGATGAGAAGATGGTGGAGAAATGAGTTGTAATCGGAAGAGAGCAGGATTGTCCATCACTGTCTACCTAAAGAGCACGATCGTAAAGGCCGCGTAGCCGGAGACTGAGCAGCCTGGGCATTAGCCCACAAGGCGGTTCCAAGCCACTAGTGCTACAATCGACGTGTTGCGCGAGATTCCTGATAGAGTATACCAAGATGTTTCAAGGCTATTTCCGTCGGCACAATTCGTATTTGCCGGTGTTGACCGAAGTTTTCTAGGATGGGTCTCTGACCATTGGATCTGGTAGCTATGCCTTGCGTGGTCTAGCGTCGATGAGGCTCGGCTTAGCGACCCACGTGGCAATAGCCGTCCCACGCAAAAATCACTACCCCTAGATGTATCGGCTGGCCCATTCACAGTGCTGCATGCCTTCTTGTAGATGTCGAGTGTGACGGGTAATACGGTTTTAGCATGCAATATGCTAGTCCGACGAAGCAAGCTCACCCTGTGCACCTGCCTTTTGGATCCAAACATGCGCCCACGATGCCAGATGACAGGCGGTGAAAAGATCTAGAAGTCACGACTTTGCCCGAGCGTGAGGCTAAACTAAGTATCGTCAAATTGTCCCTTGCCTTGGCCGATTGATTTTTCTGACTGAACCCTTGTCTCCACGTCTTCTCCAGTTCTTTCCTTCTTCTCTCCACATTCCTTTTCCCTGTGTGCGTTCTTTGGTCTGTCCATTTGTTAGCGAGGCGTCAGATGAGTGTCAGTCTTACAGGCAGTTGTCTGCCACCATCAAGCAGCTTACCACCTATTCGTTCACTGCTATCGGCATCGGAAGATCAGGTCTTCGCCGCTCTTAAGAACCTACAGACGTTGTACTGTCCTGTACGCCTTCCGACTACTATCTCACACCCGACATCGAAAAGAGAGCACACATCTATCGTCTCACCCCCTGGACCCGCGGATTCCGGTTACGCGTCTCAAGACGAAGGCGAAGATGATGAGAACCAAATTACAACCGAAGAGGTGACAGCAGCTCTGCGTGCAGACCCATTCGAGCGCACTTTTGCCACCCAATGGCTCAACTCGCTCCTCGCGCGCTCGGAAGAGATGGAAGTCGATGACGATGTACGAGAAAAGCTTGTCGATGACGCCGGCTTCATTCTTTCAACCCTATTCGAAAATGCCGATGAAGAGGAAGAGGCGCTGACACGAGACTTTTGCTTCCCCACATCATCTGGAGATACAGTTAAGGTCACGCTCAATGATGCGCCACTGTCGAGTACAGATCATACCGCAGTCGGACTTCAGTCCTGGGGTGCCAGCATCGTACTCAGTAGCATGATGTGCGCCGAGCCAGAGCGCTTTGGACTGACTGAAGACAGTCTTGCAGGGAAGCAGACAATCATCGAGCTCGGTGCAGGCACTGGACTCGTCAGCTTAGCAGTCGCTAAATTACTTCCTGTGGTAGGCGCTGGACCTGTCAGCATCACGGCGACCGACTATCACCCTGCGGTTCTGGAGAATTGCAACGCAAACATCGAGACAAATTTTCCTTCGAGCTCACATGGCACACCACCTGTAGACACCGCAATATTGGACTGGGCCCAGCCTCCTACACACATGAAATCAGCATCAGATCTTCTTATCGCCTCAGACGTGGTCTACGCTCCTGAACATGCCGCCTGGCTACGTGATTGTGCGGCGCATCTCCTGGCTCGGAACGGTGTATTCTGGCTTATGGTCACAGTGCGCAAGACGGGCAAATTTGAGGGCATTCCCGATACTGTCGAAGCCGCTTTCCAACCGGAGTTCAGTGTCAAGAGCGACAGCGGGTTGACTTTTAAGATTCTGGAAAGAGAGTTTGTAGAGAAGAGACGGGGTATTGGACGAGGTGACGAGAGCGGATATAACCTTTATAGAATTGGATGGGCATAGACCAAGGCGATTTATAGACTAGACAGCGCAAGCGTCCTAGCGGGCTTCATCAGTGCCCACGATGTTACGAATTCAACACCCAGATCTAAGACCTTGGCAACGAACTAAAGTGCTCTTGCTTACGCACCAGACACTTCCTCATCCTCTGACACTCAGTAATCCCCAAATTTGTATCTTGCTCGCGCAAGTTTGTCCGCTTCTGGGTACTTTTCGACGTTGACAGCCACAGTCGCAACACCGAGGGGGATATCAACCGTCCGCAAGATACCCAATAACCTTATTGCAAACACCCACATCCTGTCGTTGACCTCTAATGCCTTGACTACGAACGGCCCAAGTGGCAGCGCCAGCTCCTCGATTGGTATGAGCACAGCAAGCTTCTCGAGCGTGTCCTCCATATCGTCAAATCTCGCCTGTATTCCAGGAATGATTTCTAATCCAACATCCCAAGCCTCTCTCATATGCTTTGCGTAGTCGCTATGTATCTTTCTCGCCATGAGGAATTTGGCGTTGTTCATGGGATCGGTCGGGTTGTCGAGCCATTCTGCACCGGCTATTTGTGCTTCGGTTTCTACCTGCTTCAGTTTGATCTCTGCCAAGTCGATGAGCTTTCGCAGAAAGTTTTGTGTCATGTTCAGCAGTCTTCCAGTATCCTTCATGGGACCATTGATCAGGTTGACAAGAGCAGGATCCGGACAATTTTCGGCGAAGTCTTTCCATGCCCTGCGCTGCGATTGAAAGAGCGAGTTGATGTGAGTGAACAGGTATGTAAGCGGGGTAAGAGAGAACTTCAGGACGAGCTTTTTAGTCTGGGAAGACATGCTTCTGTTGAGTGACCGGTGTTGGTTCTTGGAGGGCGGTGAAGAAGCAAGTGATACGCTCGTTCGCTTCTTGTTTGCATGATCGTAAAGAAAACGGTGAACAAAGCCGAAGGTGTCGCAAAGCCGGAACTTCATATACTGTCAATCATTTGGAGACATAGATCGCATGTACTAGCTGCCACCGTCCCTCTTCCTCTTCCTCTTCCTTCCCCCGTCGGCTGCTACGGATTCTACCCGATGTCGATCTTCGGTAATGCCCGCGAGAGGAAAGACATAATTTCCCATTGGCTGACCTTGCGCGTACCAAACTCCATTCACCCATCCAGCGCTATACAGCAAATAATCCCGCTTGCCACGAGCCTCTTGGATCCTCCTACCGACTTCCAAGCTTGCCAGTCGTTCAGAATCATGTGATTGATCCCAGCTCGTGAAGATCTTTGCAAGGCAAGGTGCTCCGTCAGAGTTTAAGTGGGTTGCCTGCTCTGTCCTCCAACCATCTGGCTCCGGTCTGATGAAGATAGCAGCTGGCTCTGTATGCGGACGTGCTGAAGCCAGCCGCCCCAAACGAAGCTCTTGATCGTCGCGAAGAGCTTGATAGAGTGCGAACATCATGTCTAGTACGTACGGTGCAGACGGTGGTACTTTCGGTCGCGACCGATGTCCATCGAGCGATAGGTTTCGACGCATGTAATTGACGAGCTGACTTGCTGGCCATAGGGCCTCCAACTTCTGAATCAGTGCATCCAATGCCGTATGTGCATCCTCGTCGAGCTTCGTACCCCGAAGCACTGGACCTCGGCCTAGATCAGATAGAGTTTCTCGATCCGAATCGGTGAGACGGAGGCTGAGCTGGTCTGCTCGTATTCTTGATCGCTCACGAGGGAATAGTTCGAAAGGCCAGCCTTTCGTCTGAAGACCACGAGACGTGATAGTTGGGGATTTGAGACGACAGTGGTCGACGAAAGTTTGCTGGAATCGCAGATTAGGGACACTAAACTCGTGTTGACATGCCGCGAGATACGATTGTAACGTGTGCTGCATCAGGTTACTTTCGCAGGGCAGACGCGCACGGTCAGGTGATTTCCATGTCCTACTCTTCAATATCTCCCCATTCATTAGTATGAGTGCGAGCAGAGCTACAGAGAGGCTGTATTTGTCTGGCTTATGTATTGGAGATCCTTTCCCGATATCTATGCGCGTAGTAAATCTTAGAGCGTTTGCAAGGATAGCGATTCTGTCCTCCTCGTTCTCCAACGAACGGCTGCAAATATCGTCGAGCACACAGTTCGTAGTCGTTCGGTACGCTGGAATCTCGTAGCTGCTTCCGCGCTGATAGTTCTTGTCGTCGCCAGTATTACCGCGAACGCCATTCCTCCCGGAACGCAACAGATGGTCGTCCTGTGGCGGTGTGTAGCTCTTGTTGCAGATATTGTATTGTTTGAGCTTTTCCAGTATGTCGGTATTAGGCCGCCGTTCCTCAGGGCGAGCCAAGCAAAACATGGTCGCATTTTGTCGAAGATCCTTAAGTTTGATCTTCAAGTCCCCAAGGATATCACCAAAGTCATAGCCCTGATCTTTTCGAACACTTGAAGAACACGGTATGAGTAAGGTCATCCTGTTCGAGGCCAAATGATCTTCTTGGAAGATCCAGCCACGATCCCAGCGAGGGTCGCTGAGAATGCGCCGAATCAGCTTTTGTACTGCTAGAACATTGACTTCGGGTCTCAACTTTGGATGTTCTCTGTCCTTGGGGTCGACGAAAATGCGGCCCTGTAGGAGTTCAGATAGAAGATCGACTTGGTGTTGATGCGTAAGCTCCACCGTGAGTAAGCCAACCGAGACTTTACTGTCGCCGTAGACTACGTCCATGATCTGAACGCCCAGTTCCTTGTCTTTTGGCCGCTTTCTTTCGTCTCCCGCTCTCTGATATATGCACTCCTTGTCGATCCATACTTTGGACACATTGACGCTCTGTGCGAATTGTATTACCCGATCCATGTAGCGGTCCGGAAAGTCACTCTTGTGCGGCTTCGCACCCGGTCTCCTGATTTGATAATCGAATACAGGGGTTTCAGGCGCATGTTCGAGCACAGCCCATCGCCATGAGACAGCAATGTATGCGTCTTCGTTGTCTTCTTCACGCTTCGTGATGGGGACTTCGCATGACGGTATCTTTCGCTCGTAGAGATGATCGCGAGCCTCAGCTAGTGCGTAGCGGCGGTCTTGTTTCTGCTTCTCTGCCTGTAGATCTGGTACTCCGGAAATATCCAGAAAGCGCAAATTCGCTACCCATTCTTCAGCCTCGCTTCGATCAGTTTCGAAATGTTGGACCTCTAGTAATTGTTTGCGGAAAGCGGTTGGGTCGTCGTTGAAGATCTCGCCGAACGTCTGACGAAGATCATTCTTCATGGTGCAAGTAAATGTTCAAGTCTTGTGGTTGATGTTGAGCAGGCGGAATGATGAGATGAGACGAGCGAGAACGCGTCTCAGGTCCCCGCATGAGACGCGTTCCTTGTTCCACGTCATCACGTGCTCAGCTTGGCGACGACGCAACAACGCGCAACCATCCCGGTCTCTTGATGCAACAGCATTACCCTAGTCAAATGCAAAAGTCGATGCACCGCAAGCTGCTCGGTCTCAATATGCGCCGCAACTACGTCGCCAGCTTCCAGATCTATTTGGGTCGTCGTAATGGTACTTCGTGCAAAGACGAATTGACTGCAATGGCGCGACGAAATGCAGCAGAGTATTATAGGCCGCTGCCAATAAGTTCAAAGTACTTCGCAGCAACCTGAAGGTGCTGTCCGCTGCTAGGGATCGTTAAACCTTGAAATAATTTGAGGAAAGAGATGCGAGCCTGCCGAAGAACTAGTCCACGTGCTCCATCCAAAAGCGGTTATGCCTCGGCATGATCGTTTCAAGGGTCTCGGCCCACTCACTCATTCACATGCTTCCCCAGATTCGCAGCTGCATACATCATCACTGCTATCACAAGCCTCCGAAGCTCTTATATACCCCAGACTGTTCTGCACTCGCGACTTCGACTCCACAAACCTCTTCCGCCTAGCTACTATCGCCATCAGTCTCTACCTGCCCCCAACGCGCATCACCACTCTAGCAACACATCGCCAACATGTCTCTCAAGAACGGTATGCACATGCCGACCCTACGAAACCTCCTATGGAACCTAAGAATAGTGGAACTAACACGCGTCTAGACGACTTCCCCGCCTCCGCCGCCTTCGACGAGATCGCGCAAGCCCTTTCCGCTTCCGACGCCGACCGCAAAGACGCCATCAAGAACGGCAAGGCCATCTTCGCTTTCACACTCAAGAACAAGGCCGGCGCACAAGAAACATGGTACCTTGATCTCAAGGAGACCGGCACGGTCGGCAAGGGCCCTGCTCCAGCGGGCAAGAAGGCTACCGCCACACTGGTGCTGAGCGACGAGGACTTTGGCAAGCTTGCGGCCGGCAACGCGAATGCTCAGAAGCTGTTTATGAGCGGGAAGTTGAAGGTCAAGGGAAACGTTATGAGCGCGACGAAGCTAGAGCCTATCTTCAAGAAGGTGCAGAACAAGGCTAAGCTATAGATGCGAGGCTGGAGTCGAATATGTATACCATTTCAAGCAGATATTCGACATACTTGGAGTCTGCTTCAATACACACGTTTCTAATGCATGTGTGCTCAATGACTAATCGGATGCGAATTACTGACATTCTTGCGCTGCTATACTTACTGAGCTTTAGGCGCGGACATGACCTGTAAACAAATGTACGGACACCTTGCAGGTACGGCAATGCACGAGCACAGCCTGGAGTCGGTTCCTCTCAAAGTAGACATCCAAATCACACTGAACCGATGCGATGAGCGCAAACACAAGGTAAGGACCAGAAGGAAATGTCATTGAAGGATCGTAAGGTCATACTATTCTACTCATACCATCGTAACTATGCGCAAACGTGATTTTCGGAGTAGTCGTAAAGGCCGTGAAGACGTCGAAGTCGTAAAGAGCGTGAGGAAGACAAGACAAAGGAAAGACGAAAAGAGAGGACATGAGAGGCCGTTATCCGAAACCCAACAACAAGAACGATAAAGACAGAAAGCAGACGCCATAAACCATGCCCGAGGGGTATCAACCGTGACATACCACAGCAAAACTCCCTAGTACCAGACAAGAACCCAGGAAAACAAGCACAGCTACTTCACCTGACCATGACAGGCGAGCTGCCTTTCCAGCTCGAAAGATGCAGGAACCTCTTGCCTCCACCCCAGAAGCTATCTTTCTTACTTGACTGTCGTGGTCTACCCAACCACCTCGACAGCGCATGTTCTCTCCTCTCCTTTCCACTAACCTCTTCAATGGCCTGTTCGACCTCCTCAAGCAACGGGCCCATGACCCGCGGCTCGGCATCAATAGGCGAGAGCATAATGGGAACATCCATGACCTCTTCTTGGTACTGCTTCCACCGATCGCTCCCTGAGATGGTAGTCAGAGGTTCAAGCGCGAGATCCCAGTCGCCCTCGCGCAGCTTGACGTCTTCGAAGTTGAACTCGCGGAGGGAGCGCTTGTGCTTTGTGATGAAGTCGCTGATTTGCGCGGAGTCCATGAGCGCGTTTTCCAGTTCCATGACGCGGAGGCGAGGGAACTTCAGGGGGCGGGGACCATTGGTTTGGCCGCGGAGAGAGGGGTGAGTGGACTCCTCTCGGCTGGGAAGCATGCAAGGTTCACGGTCGAGTGAGAGGGGTGAAGGGCCTCGCTCGCCTTTCCAGCGGAAGAAGACACGCGTTAGGCCGCGTGAGAGTGTGGCGAGGTAGGCGTGTAGGATGCGGAGGTGTTCTAGAGATTGGGCGCGGGTGCGCGATGAGCTTGAGTTGAAGGGTATGCTTTCCATGCAGATTGAGAGGCGACGGATTTGACCCCAGCGCTTGGCTGAGGATGGTGTGCTGCCGAAGCCGTGCATGGGGTGGAGGTATAAGAGGCCACCAGGGTGGATGGGGTGGAGAGAAAGAGCAGAGAGGCTGTACAATGGAGCGCGCTCAATGGCAATGCGGAGAGAGATGAGCGCATAGTCGACTACACCTCGTCGGTGTCGAAGTGAGCCAGTAGATCCCGGACATGAGACCTTGAGATGCGTGAGGTTGATCAGTTCAGAGAAGGCGGCGCAAAAGGCAGGGACATTGGTCGCGGCATGGAACAGTGGTGGGTACTGTTTGATGAGCAAGTCCTGCATCTCCCAGCTGCCATACTTGGGTGCCTTGTCTTTGGCCGGTCCATGTTGCGGTGTCTGGACTTGAGGCTCGTAGATGAACTGCTTCTCCGTGCCAGTGCACGGATCGATGATGGGTGGCAAGCAGGTCTCTGGGCCATGTGGCATGTGGAAGGTAAAGGTCTTGACGTGACGGCCTATCCTCGATAGCGCTTCGATGCGCGCTGGCTTGGAAAAGGTCGATGTCTTGAAGGTCACGGTCATCTTCTCAAAGAGTCGTGGCGCGGCTTTCGATGAAAAGTCATGGCATACAAGGCGGAAATTGGATAGGTCTTCAGTTTCCATGTGATCCAGGACGTTGTCGCGGCAGGCGTCGTTTAACCAGAAGCGCAAGAAGACTGAGCTTGTGGAGAGGACCAGGTTGCAGATGGAGCCATTGGAACGGATCGCTTCATGACGTTAGGATGAGTGCGCGCGCATTGCGACGGGGTACTTACATCGTCCATCTACTGTCGTCGCAGGTGTCAATGGGATCTCTCCAAACAGTAACTTGGAGCTTGCGCGCGATACTGTTGTCGCAGCGCTGGCATAGCTGTTTTGGCTCTCACCCGAATGTGAGCGCTTCAGTGGCGGTGGCGACGATCGCTGTGAGTACATGTTGTAATAGTCGAGTGGGTCGCATGCAATAGTGTTGGTTCGTAAATAGGTCGTTTATTCTTCAAGGTATCAATCTCGTGGTAAATCTCAAGTAAATCGTAAAAGTCGTTTCAAACATCCAGCATTCGAAAGAGTAAGAGCGAAACCTCAGGAAACAGAAAATCCGACGGGACCAGCCACGACCTCGTCCCCAGCTGTATTTACCACAGCGCGGTGCATGGTCGCAAAGCGGGGCCCAACGCTACTACACGTGAGCTGCAGGTGTGAGTCAAAGGTCGTTCCCCTAGATGCCAACGAGCCCGCCACCGGATTCCCAACTCTTAACGCAAAGCAGCCGAAGAATTGATCAGAAAACGCGACCATCTCGCGGTGGGTAGACGTGTATATATGGTGTTAGACGCGACGATTCGACCAAGTGGTCGAGTGGGGCTGCAGCCTGGAGCCGGCTTGAAACGTTTCACGCATTCTGACCAACCGGCTCGAAGCATGCACGGGATAGTGTATGCGGCGCTTGCATTAGTCTTGCATCGTGTCTGCATCCGGGTCTTGGAAGCTGTGGCTAAACAGTCACGACTGGCGGTCAGCGATCCCGTCGCGTGCAGGGCTGTTACTCATCCCGTAAGTCAGGCACGACGCGTCTGTTAGTGCGCACAGTGGGCTCTGGACGTTGCTCTGGAGAGTCGCGATTCGAGGACCACAACAACAACAAATGCCGTGCTTGCATTGGTGCCGGCTATGCGCGTCTGTTTGAAGGGTGAAGGCTGTTTTGGACCCAGCTATCGATAGCTAGCCGGAAGGCGCGTCTGTGGCTAAGGCAGTCACGCAGTGTCAACACCACCAGAGTATCGTGACCGCATTGTGTCGCGTCGAATGCACGATACAGCCTTGGAAGTGGGCGGCAGTGTCTTTGTTTGTGGTTTTGGTACATCCGATACCTACAGCGCGTTTAGCAATGTTGCTCCCACAGACGCGTCTGCGCAAAGCTCGCAACCACAACAAAGCTAGCCGTCTACCAGTGGCACACCATGACCGCGTTAATGCCTCACACGCCTCACTTGATGGCTGGTGACAGGCATGGCTTGCATAGTGCCATTCTGCCGCTCTCCACCGATCTGCCGTGTAGCTTCACCGGTCACACGGTATGCCCCGCACCTGAACACATCTATCCAAGAATGTCGTCTAGACGTACAAACGTTTTGAATGATTACATTGAGCTACAAAGTGATTCGGTATTAAAGCCAACTGTAACGATGAAAAGCTTGCGACATACACCATACTACAATATACTGTTTCAGATTGCTCCGCCGACAACTACAGAAAACCTATTAGCAAGGGTGATTACTGGGTAGAAAGAGATCAACCTCCGCCATAGAACTGCTGCATGCCCCCCACTTCGGTTGCAGCACGCATGCTTCTTAGGCCGTTCGCTGCGGCCCAAAGGTTCTTCTTGGTCGGATGTGGCCCGCCTAGACTCGCTCATCTCCTACCATATCGCCACTTCTCGACGCGTCCAGGGTGCTGATCCGCGGCATAGCCCTGTTCC